TCTTCCTATTCGAAAAATCCATTGCTACTAGTGAGTTTTCAGATACACTTCTCTGAAAAGGAATTTTCACTTGTTTCAAAAAACAGGGAAAGAAAAAACCAGCTTGAGAGTTTCATTTCAAAATGTTTTGGTTTCGGAAGACTGTCCAAAGTTATCCTTCAACAGCACAGAAAATACATCTCATTTTTTCCCCCTTTCAAAAGATTCACAGACACGAAAAATTGCTACTAGTGAGTTTTCAGATACACTTCTCTGAAAAGGAATTTTCACTTGTTTCAAAAAACAGGGAAAGAAAAAACCAGCTTGAGAGTTTCATTTCAAAATGTTTTGGTTTCGGAAGACTGTCCAAAGTTATCCTTCAACAGCACAGAAAATACATCTCATTTTTTCCCCCTTTCAAAAGATTCACAGACACGAAAATAGATGGCTTTTCTTTTTAGGCCATAGGGGAGGGAGAGGATTCAAAGGCTGAGAATAAAATCTGTATTGCTCAAGTTGCCTACTTGCCCTATTACTATATTCCAGTCATTTTCAGGGCCAGTTGGGATCCAAATATAGGATCTTCAGTTTTAGATAGTTAACAGTCAGCTCTTGGCCCATCATATTTTAGGAAATTTACGTGTTAGTTTTGCCAGACCTAAGCTGGCGTCTGCAGAGACAGCCAGATGTCTCTGTACCGTACATCTCAAAGAGCCTGACGTATCCAAGATTTTTCAATCATGTGGATCATGTAAGCCTAAGATAATGGAAAGCCAACCACGGAAACTGTACTCATGCGAAACATGAACTTTACATTGATCTGCTACACAATGCTGAATTTACATTTCTTAGTGCAAAATTTTCCACTTTTAAAATGCAAAAGCAGATGTATCTTTTCCAACATCGTACATCAATGAGGTGAAGTTCATTACTTACTACTGGAGTGGAAAAGTGTGGAAGCATGGCTTTTCTCTGCTGGGGAATTCTGTAATTCTGATACAGTAGCATTCCATACTGCCAACAGAAATGCAAGAACATTATTATTCAAATATATATCCCAGAAAAAAAGAAGAAGAGATTTCCTAATAGCACTTACAGTGGAGCAAGGTGCCACCAGTTTATCGTTTTTGTGATCAGAAGCTATCCCAAAGAAATTTGCACTGAGTAACAGTGATTGGCGGGTGGCAATCAAGCAGAAAATACACACAACAAGTTTTATTTAGAAAGTACACGCCCAAGTGAAACACACAGGTAATTTCTGCCACTCTCAGTTATCGCCATGTTTTCCTTGTAGAATACAAACACATATATTAAATCCCTTCTTTTTACCCTCTAGTAATGTGAACTTGAAAAATTCTGCATAAGACATTCAAACTTAGTTTTCATAATGATAAAAAATAAGCACCTTTCTAATTCACTAGCTCTTTTTATTAATTTCAGCAAAAAAAAAATCATCCTTATAAAAATAAGGTGATTGAATTCCAGTCATGCTCCTCGTTGAACATGATAAATTTTAGCACCACTAGTAGCTAGGATGGTAGGAAAACACCTACACAGTGCCTTCCCTAGAGGCACAGTGATGAAGTATAGCAACATTGCTTACTGAATGTTCTAATTGAAATGGTATATAAAATTTGCAGACAGGGTAATATAGGACTATGGAAAGCTAAATCAGAAGGTGAATAAAAAGGAGGGTCATGGACACAGCCTTGAGGCACAGCCTTATTCCTCCCTGACTGTATAACTTTAATCATCTTTCAGTGCTCCTTAAAAACAAACTCTTTTTTTTCCCCCCTAGTGTTCACTGCCTAAGGGTGAATGTTATAAGCCGGTATACAGAAAATGCTGTTGTTGGCACAGGTCACATTGCAAAGGAAGATTCCTCTGAATGGTTGCAGCAAGATGCATGTCTACATATTTGGTAGGAATAGCTAATTCTGTAAACTGTGAAGGTTTTTCTTGCCACTCAGGAACATTAATGCCTCAACCAGGGCAACTAATTTCTTCAGAACAAGTGGCATTTTCAAAGTGCAATTCACTAAAATAGTCTGATCCTCTGAGCACTTTCCTCAGAATGCAAAATTTTGTGTAAACAGGGAAAGCAAAGGACAGACAAACAGAAGCACTTGGAATTGCCTGGGGATTAAAACTCTTATTATAAATGTTAGTGGGTATTAAACATCAGTCAAATTAAGCCAAGTAAAGTAACTGGAGAGACGATTATGATAACCAACACAGGTATCAACTCCACTGATATCAAATATGCATCTTGTAACTGGGATTGGTTCTTGCAGTCTGGCCCATACTATGGCTAGTGCACCTGCTTTGTAACAACTTAAGAGTTAGAATTTCTGTACTGCACCACAGAATCTCTTACAATTAAATCTGGAGAGCATTCAGAGAGAAGAGTGCTCTGCTTTGGAAGGTGACCACCATGTAGGTGGAGAACAGGCATTGTGTTTTCACAGCTGCAGATCTAGGACTCTGAGTAGCT